TGGGCCCTTCCCCTCCCGCCGCGGGCCGGGCCTCGCGCCCTCACCTGGGACCTCGCTTCCCGGAGGCTGCTCGTCCCTCCCGAGGTCCGCGGCCGCGGGTCCCGCACTACTGACAAGCCTGAAAACAGGGCGGTGGACTCGACCTCTCCGAGAGCAGAGGGACCAGCGGGTCAGCACACCCACGCCGCGAGCCGCCATGGCAGCAGACAACGCGGACCCCAGAGGTCGGCGGACTTCCGCGCGTGCGCTGTGAGACTGGGGGCGGAGTTGGGGGGGGGAGGACAGGAAGCAGCATGGGTCAAACTAGGCGAAAGACGTTCCATTTCTGAAATGAGAGAAGGCATTCGAAGTTTAGAACGGCCATCCTTCACTCCACCTCACAAAAGAGGAAAGTTTCCATCACGTTCTATGAATGATCATCTTTACGGAGTTCGGCTTACTTGTTCAGTTCAATAATTTTACAGAAGGAAAAATAAAAAGAATGAGTGCTATGGTTTTGTCTCCCACAGAAGATGAGTTTAAGACACTGTGATCTTTTGAAAATGGTACCATCCTTGTGGGCTTGCATCACCTAAATATGTATATGACTGGCTCAGTTTTGTTTGTTTGTTTGTTTTGATGTAGTTGCTCCACAGGTTGATGGCTGGGTTTGGAATATGTCAGTTTCCCAACACCTCAGCCCCAGTCATTTCTACCTGTTTCTAAGGAGTAGAATAACTGATAGGACTACATCCCTTGGACCACATTCCTTCACTCAACCTCATAAAACAGGAAAGAGTCAACAAAATGCCATAAATGTCATTGGGAGGAAAAAAAAGAACAAAGCTTGAAAATCCAAAGTAAAGATTTCTAAAGGACCTCAAACACAGTATACTTAAGATTACTCCATGTTATTATTATGTCACATTAAGATATGTCAATCATTAATGCTTAAGATTACTCCATGTTATTAATATTGTCATATTATTTACAATAGTGAAGTTGTGTGAGGGTATAATGTATTAATACAGTGGTTTCTGGGATACAGAGTATAACACATAGAATATGTTTTTGTTTACAATGTTTATAGGTATTTCATTGAGATGCCATAAAAATATTTCTAATGCAAATTACCCATTTTAATTGGTTTGTCTTTTTAATGATTGAGTTTTAAGAGTCGTTTATATATTCTGGATAAAAGATACTTACCAAATATAGATTGGCAAATACTTAATCCTATCTAGTTTATCCATTATTTTCTTCTTGCCTAACCCAAATTTGTAAAGATTTACTCCTATTATTTCTTTAAGATTTTTTTTAATACTTTAATATACATTTACATCTTCAGCCCAACCTGAGCTCACTTTTTGTATATAGAGGTTGGGCCCAAACTTCTCTCTTTACATGTGGATATCTTATTATCCAGCACCATTTATTAGGAAAAATTCCTCTTTCTTCATTGAATAGTACTGGCATCCTTGTCAATGTCAGTGATTACAAATATCAGGATTTATTTGGGGGTTCTCAATTCTACTGCAGTGATCTTAAAGTCCACTCTATGCCAGTTTCACCTTGCCTTTGTTGCTGTGGCTTAGTAGTAAGCTTTCAAATTGGGAGGTAAAAGTTCTCCAACTTCGTGCTTTTTCAACATTGGCTATTGTAGGTCCCTGAATTTCTAGAGGAATCTTGGAGTCAGCTTGTCAGTTGTGAATAAAAGACAGCTAGGATTATGAAAGGGATTGTATTGAATCTCTAGATTATTTGAGGAGTATTTTCAGTTTACATCAAGTATCCTACAGCTTACTGACTTGCTTATTAGTTCATGTATATGGTACATGTATGGGTGTGTGTATGAGTGTGCATGTGCTCAAATGTCAGTACCAGGGTTTGAATACAAGACCTCATGACTCTTGCTTGTCTCTCTCACTCGCAGCTGGCACTCTACCACTTGAGCCATGCCTCCAACCTGGCATGTTGTTGGTAATTTTGGAGATGAAGTCTCATAGGTTTTTCTTCCTCTTGTATAGTTAGGATTACATGTATGAGGCACCAGGGGCAGGCCATTTATTAGTTCTAATGGTTTGGATTTGGGGAAGGGGGAACCGATTCCTTAGGATTTCCATGTACAAGATCATGTCATCTGAAAACAAAGATAGTAGTTTGTCTTTTTGGTGGCACTGTGGTTTTAACTCAGGACTTTGCATTTAATAGGCAGATGATTTTTCACTTGAGCTATGCCTCCAGTTCTTCTGCCTTATTCTTATTTTTCTTGAGCCAGTCATGAGGCTTGAACTCATGACCTGGGTGCTGTCCCTGAGCTTTTATGCTTAAGGGTAGCACTCTACCACTTGAGCCACAACTCTACTTCCAGATTTTTGGTGACTTTTGGTGACTTTCCTGCTCAGCCCCCTGAGTAGCTAGGATTACAGACATGAGCCACCTTGCCTTAGTTATTTGTAGGGTCTCTGATGGTGCTCAGCTTGCCTAGTCCAATATCCTCTTACATTTCCCTGGTAGCTGGATTACAAGTATGTGCCCATGTCCAACTTTCTGTTAGTTGAGATGTAGTCTCCTGAACTTTTTAAAAATATTTCTCCTAAACTTTTTGCCTGAGCTGATCTGAAACTTTGATCCTTCCAGTTACTGCCTCCTAAGAATCCAAGATACAAAAGTGAGCCACTAACTCAGTTATTCTTGTTGGTTTGGCTTGATTTGGTTTGGTTTTTGAGACGTGGTATTGTTATATACCCGAGGCTGGCCTGGAACTCATCATCCTTGTGCCTTATTCTGTTCCCAAGAACAGATTTCAGGTGAGAACCACCACACCTAGTGCAATTGAAAAAACAAAACTATTGCAAATAATTTTTTTTCCAAGATAGACATAAGAGGGCCAAGAAACCAATCAGGACACCATGTAATGACAAAGACAAAGAGTGGAATTAAGCAGCTGCAAGCTAAAAACATCAGAGATGGCAGCAAACCAGCTGCTTGATGCAGAGAAAAATGTGTTTCCTACAGGTTCAGAGGGAGTGGTGCATGGCCCTGCCAACACCTTGGCTTTGCACTTTTAGCCTCCACATCTGTAAGACAGCATGTTTCTCTTGCTTCAGGCCACTCCATCTGTGATCCTTTGCCTAGGACACTAAACCATTTGTCCTATCCTTAGACTTACTAAGAACATTGTGACAGCTGATCATATTTGTCAATCAAATTCTCTGTATTTCTCACCTGTGCTCATCTGTCTGGGAGATGTCTGGGAGATGCTCTGTCACAGAGCTATGTGAGTGACAGTTCAGTTTCTCTGTGTTTCGGAAAGTGTATACAGATGTTCTCTCATTGGCCATAGCTATCTCTGCAGAGGGAATATTGAGGGCATGTAGAAATGAGATTTTCAATTTATTGAGTTAAATAAATAGATACACTTTGTCATTAAAAAGAAAAGGAATCCTATCATAAACTGGGCATGAGTAACCAGAGCAAAAAAGGACTGGAAGTATGGCTTAAATGATAGAGTGACTTCCTGAGTTCAAACTCAGCATAGAGGAAGGAAGGAAGGAAGGAAGGAAGGAAGGAAGGAAGGAAGGAAGGAAGGAAGGAAGAAAGGAGGGGAGAGAGGGAGGGAGGGAGGGAGGAAGGGAGGTAAAAGAATCCTATTGTAGATTTAAAACTAATTTAAAACATGGAAAATTCTTGGGTTGTTCCTCTATTCCATTTGCTCTAGTAAATTGGGAACGTGCATGATGTAAGACTCATGTAGTCTCATAGCCAATCATGCCACTGGGATTATCATTGGTCCCCACTCTCACTCACAGAAATGTCCCAGTTCGGATGACAAACAACATGACAACATAACTACTGGACCTTTGGAGCCTTGGTTTCTGTTTGACTCACTAGGAGGGATTTTCATGTTTAAAGCTGAATGCATGATGAGAGCATCTCAGCCCGCAGGGGTTACTGGGTATTTTTTTTTCTAAAGGGAAGCAAGCAAGCATAATGGTTGAGACTTTTGAAAGGCATGAGCTGTTAAATTTGGGGGTATTGTGCCTTTTCTCTTTAAAAATCATGGAAAAGAAATAGGTGCCTCTTACAAATTAGTTTACTGATGGGACACCAACTTCAATATTCAGTGTTAGAGTTACTAAATAAAACACATAAAGAGGGCTGGGATGTAGTTCAATGGCAAAGCACTTGCCTAGCAAGTGCAACGTCCTGGGTTCGATCCCCAGTACCAAAAAAGAAAAGACAAAAAAAATAAAACACATAAAGACTAGGGGCACTGTATGACACACACACACACATACCCACACACACACACATAACATTTGCTTGAATTTACAGCAAACTTCTCAGGGAAGATGAAGAAAGCACTGGCAGACTTGGTTGACTCTGAGGACGAAACAAAATAGTTGGACCCAAAACAATTATGGGGTGGGAGGAGGGGAGGAGTGTTTACAACTTTTGTATCTTATGAGTGTTTTGATACCATTAACCATATTACAATGGTAAATTTTATTTTAAAGACTTAAAATGCTTCTTACTTAAAAGATTAAAATGGGCCGGGCACTGGTGGTTCATGCCTATAAGCCTAGCTCTTACAAGGCTGAGATCTGAGTATGATAGTTCAAAGTAAGCCCAGATAAGAAAGTCTGTGAGACTCTTATCTCCATTGAACCACCAGAAAACCGGAAGTGGAGCTGTGGCTCAAAGTGGTAGAGCACTGGCCTTGAGTGACAAAGCTCAGGGACTGGGGACAGGCTCTGAGCTCAAGCCCTACAACTGGAAAAATATAAAATGCCTTCTGCTCTGTAGTTTGATTAAGGGGAGATCCATTGACTAACTAGCTAGTTATCAGGGAAGGTAGACAGACTTACCATTCGTTGTTTGCTTGTTTGTACTTTTAAAATCTATTATATGTATGTTCTGCCTTCAGATGCAAAAAAGTTAGCTCCTCTAAACACTTTAGAATGTCTATATAACTTGGTTAATAACTTATTATATACAATTTTTTTGTGTGTGCCGGTCCCAGGGCTTGAACTCAAGGCTTGGGTGTTGTCTCTGAGCTTTTGGGTTCACAGCTAATGTTCTCCCACTTGAATCATACAGTTCAACTTCTGGCTTTTTGATAATTAATTGGAGATAAGAGTTACATAGACCTTCCTGCTTGAGATGGCTTCAAACCACAATCCTCAGAACTCAAGCCTCCTGAGTAGCTAGAATTATAGGTGTGAGCCACTGATACCTGGCT